TTCAAACCCACCAGCCACTCCTCAGAAGGAAGATGGGGCAATCTACTTCCGTAGTGATACTGCCTCGGAAACCCAAGGAGGGGTCGCTATGAGTTGTAGCTGACTCGACAGCAAATAACAATAACAACATTAATTGTAACATACAGTTTATTCTCATGTTAATAATCTAGATTTTTTTTCCTTTCCTTCTAATATTGCTTCTATACCTAGAAGTACTTCCATATTCAAATTCCCTACATTCACCACCTATATTTTCTTAAGACATTTTTAAACAGTTTCACTTTTTCACATGAAACTCTTGAATTGATAAATTAATTGGATATAAGGTTTGGATCGACATCTAATTTTTTAAAAGTAGTTAACCAATTATCTTACCATCACGCATTAACAATAAATTATTATGACTCTACATGTATCATACAAAAATTACTTCTTTCCATTGATCCATCTGTAAGTTTTTTAATCAGGGTAATAGTGTGCTGATCATTATAACTTTAAAAATACAATTTAGCATCTCATAAAGAAAAGTACTATTTTCTAAACTTTCTTGATATTGTTGTTTTTCTCTAAAAATCACCTTTAGAATCATTCCACATAGGATTTTATGTTCTTTATATTTTATAGGGACTTTATAGGGATTTTACAAGTTTATTACTTACAGACAAAATGACATCTTTGTGCTAGTCAGCATTCTCATTCAGAACACCATAGGTGTCTTAACAAAGTATTGTAATTTTCTTTAAAGTACGTCTCACAGATTTCTTATGAAAGCTATATCTAAATATTTTATACCATATTTTAGTGGAAAAGGGGTCTTCATTTCTTACACTTTAACTGGCTATTGCCAGCAAAGTGGAAAATCAGCAAAATGTGTTTATTTATGTTTTATGTAGCTACTTTATTAATTGCTATTCTAAGCCATAACAGTTTTCAATAATTTTTCTCAATTATATAGACAATCATTTACAAAGTAACTGATTAGTTAGCAGATCTTCCCAATCCAGGAAAAACAAAGCATGCAGGACTGTGACTATCCTGAGGCTCCCTACCTGCCCATCCGTGTGGATACCTGCAAGATTCCGATACATTACATATAGATGAATCAGATCACACTTCCTACACTACTGTACATATGACATCATAAACAAAACACAGGTATGACTTCAGTGTTATAAACTTAATTCCATAAATTCATAAATTCAACAAATATTTACTGAAAATCTACCATTTGAGAGGAATATATTAAGTTCCAAAAATATAGTGGCAAATTTGAAAAAGAATGTTTTAACAAGTTTAAAAAATATTTTTTTCCTTCATTACGTTTAGCTTTTTAAACTACAAAGTAATTTATCAATGTTCATTCTGAAGTAGTCAACTTAAAACAAAACTGAAAGCTGAAAAATCCAGTAAAAACCAAAATCAAACCCATTGCCAACGAGTCTATTCCAACTCACAGTGACCCTATAAGGAGGACAGTGCAGAACTGCCCCATAGCCCCTTCAATCCAATAAAGACAGTTGAAAAATTATTAGGAACATTAAGAAAATTAAATAAAAGTGACTGGTTACAAAATTAAGATCAATACAATCAAAGATTCATCTCTCTACATAAAGCAACTTAGAAACAGAAAATATAACAGATAAAATATTCGATTTATGATGGCATTATAAAGAAAAATTATCTACAAATATATCTAACAAGAAATGCACATTTTCTAATGAGTTCAAAGCTATGCTTATATTTCTGGAAAGGTACCTAAGTAAGTATCAAAAGTTGTACGCTGAGAAAGGAGACTAGCAGGACAGGAATATGAGAGTTACATTTTACTGCAGTATATTTTTACCTAATTTTTTCTTCTATGTGTTATTATTTTTCAGTCTAACACATGGGGTAAAATTATAGCATGGATAAAAAAAATATTGTTAAGTTTAATTTACTCCTTGAAAAAAAATTTATATGTAAAATGTACTGATGTATGTATGATGAAACTAAACTCCAAGTATGTTTAATTTTGGTCACCTGCTCTTTATAATGCAGGTCCTTGAAATTTAAGTCTCTAAGCATTGCTAACAGTTCTAGTACCACGGTGGTTAAGGCATTCATAGGCTGCTAACCAAAAGACTGCAGGGAACTGTCCAAGATTTGTTGGAAGAGAACTTCCTTACCCTGATAAAAGACAAGAAGATAAGCATTCAGAAGTTCAACCAATCACAAACAGGATAGACC